AAGAGGCCTGCCGGTTCAGACCACTGAGGGTCCCTCTAGTCCACCATCCTGTCTCACACAGGGGCCAGCCAGCTCCTCTGGAGGGCCAGCAACATGGCAGAGAGGCCGAGGCTTTCCCCTGAGAAGAACCTCAGAAGAGCCCTGCTGGGTCAGACCAGTGAGGGTCCCTCTAGTCCAGCATCCCGTCTCACACAGGGGCCAGCCAGCTCCTCTGGAGGGCCAGCAACATGGCAGAGAGGCCGAGGCCTTCCCCTGATAAGAACATCAGAAGAGCCCTGCTGGATCAGACCAGTGAGGGTCCCTCTAGTCCAGCATCCCGTCTCACACAGGGGCCCAACCAGTTCCTCTGGAGGGCCGACAACAGGGCAGAGAGGCCGAGGCCTTCCCCTGATGTTGCCTCCTGGCTGTGGTTCATAGGATTATGGCTTCTGAAGGTGGAGGTTCCTCTCAGTCACCATGGCTAGTAGCTACCGATAGACTTATCCTCCAGGAAATTTATCTAAGCCCCTTTTCAAGCCGCTTATTCCTGTGACCATCACTACATCCTCTAGCAGCGGATTCCACATTTTAATCCCTCTCTGTTTGAAACAGTGTTTCCTTTTGTCCATCCTGAACCTCCTGCCCATCAGCTTCATTGGACGCCCTCGAGTTCGAGTATTTGGGGAGAGGGAGAAAAAGTTCTCCACCCCATGCATAATTTTATAAACCTCTATCATGTCCCCCCCCCTTAGTTGTCTATTTTCTAATCTGAAAAGTCCCAGACTCTTCAGCCTTTCTTCCTAGGGAAGGCGCTCCAGCCCCCTACTCATTTTGATTGCCCTCCTCTGTCCTGTTTCCAGCTCTCTTTCGTTAAAGTATTTTGCTGGACCGTTCCGTTATAACACAGACTTTTTGCGGGAAAATCTGGAGAGCAGGAGCAGGCTGTTCCATGAGGTGGGGGGATGCTTTGAGGGCTGAAGTTTTTGGTTGGAGTCCTGGATGTGAAAGGCCTGCTAAATGCCATCTGGTGCAGTCGCCTGTCCTGGAGCTGGGCTCTTCCCTGTAGCTGTTGCCTTAATCCATATGACAAAGAATGAATGGACGTAAGCCTGACATTAGGAACCGCAACATTCAAAAACCAGTGGAGAAACGTTTTAACCTTCCAGGACATTCAGCTGCTAACCTAAAAGTAGCAGTTCTCTTACAAAGGAATTTCAAAGGGAGATTAGAAAGCGAGACTGCTGAATTGCAATTGATATAATGATAATAAAGCTCAAGAGAATGCATCCACCCTGGATCGGATCGAGACCTAGGTTTCCTGTCTCATTACTAGTGCTGATTTCTCCACGCCTATTACCCCTCTGCATATCTCTCCTAAATCCAATCATGCCTGCTGTTGTCATTCACCAGCTATTGTCATTTGCCTGCTAATGTCATTCAGCATCTGAAATCGCTCCACTTTCCAATGAGTAGGACAGATGGACTCCCATTCTAGCTGTATCTGAAGAAGTGAGCAGTGAATCACGAGAGCTCATCCCGTGCCACCTATTGTGTTAGTCTTTAAGGCTGAAGACTCTCACTCTTTTCTACATTTAACCCCGTCCCTCTCTTCCCAGCGTTCAGGCCAGTGGGCTATCTGGAGTGGACCAGTTGTCCAGCATCAGCATAACTGAAAAAGCAGCTTAGAGAAGCAACACCGGGCAAGGGGGTGGGGCAGACAGGACTGTATGATGCCAAACAGGAAACCATCCAAAAGAAGTCCCGGGCAGGATTTATGAAAGGATCACGGTGTTTCTCAGCTTCGGCTCTTCCTTACAGGAAGTAGTTTATGCACAAAGACAGACCTGTTCTCTGGGCATGGGCCTCTGGAAAGAATGCTTTGATTTGTCCCAACACTGATTTTCCCCCCCTCCATTTTTTTTTTGGCATTGAGATTATCTGTTAACGTAGCCTTGCTCAGATTACCCGAAGGCACAATTTATCCATGCTTGACCATCTGACCTTGGAGTAGGTGCCCCCCCTGAAAAAAGAAAGAAACAGCGGTGGACAAAAGATCCGGGGTGAGATGTGGGCACAGAAGGGCTGTTGTTTGTTTGTTTATTTCATTCCATTTATTAATCGCCTAATCCCCACAATCGTGGGGCTCTAGGCCAGGGGTGTCAAACTCATTTGTTACGAGGGCCGGATCGGACATAAATGAGACCTCGTTGGGCCAGCCCGTGTGCATCATAAAATGTAATGCCAGGTAGCGGAGATATAAACTTTATAAAGGACACAAACACAAAATGGGGTTTTTTAATACTTAAAATAAATACATGCTTAAAACGATTAGCTCTCTTGCAATATTTTATTCAACAGTGTCTGGTAACGGACACCTCTTGCTCTGAATTATTGCATCAAAATGTCTGTGCTGTTGCAATCTTGAGTATGCTGTTCAAGTGTGTATCTGTAAGCTGCAAACCTACTTTTGATTTATCGACATTCACCACAGAAATGTTATGCTCAAGAGTTCTGAGTCTAGGACCCAGGTTAAAACATGAAATGGCTGAGTGATTAAGAGAGTCTGGCGAAGCAAGCTAGGATGCAGCCAGAACTGGAAGCAGGAGACGGCTGGTTCCACTGTGGGCCTGATGGAAGCCCTCCGGGGGCCTCATCCAGCCCCCAGGCTGCATGTTTGACATCCCTGCTCTAGGCGCTGTACAAATTAAAAACCATAAGAACATAAAACCATATCCAGCATGTTATACAATAATTAAAAGTAAATGGCGAAAAATTTTGCAGTCTCCTCCCATATCTCGTCTGTCAGAGCTCCGTAAGTCCGGGGAGGGAGTCAACTCCACAAGGAATAGAGACCCAGGCAGGGTGCTGGCCATAGCAGAACGTCTCTGCCTTACAGGCCCTGCAGAATTGCATAAGAAGAAGAAGAGATTGGATTTATACCCTGCCCTTCACTACCCAAAGGTGTCTCAGAGCGGCTCACAGACTCCTTTCCCTTCCCCTCCCCACAACAGACACCCTGTGGGGTAGGTGGGGCTGAGAGAGCTGTTGACAGAAACTGCTCTTTTTCAAGAACAGCTGTGCCAGAACTACGGCTTGCCCAAGGTCATCCAGCCAGGTGCAAGTGGAGGAGTGGGGAATCAAACCCGGTTCTCCCAAGTTAGAGTCTGCGCACTTAACCACTACACCAAACTGGCTCTCCTACACCAAACTGGCTCTCCTACACCAAACTGCCTCTCCTACATCAAACTGCCTCTCCTACACCAAACTGGCTCTCGCAGGGCCCTGATGTTATTCAGCGGAGAGTTCCACCAGGTCGGGGCCGGTGCAAATAAACCAAGCAAGGCTTGCCCCCCCCGGGGAAGGGGATGTAAGATGTGGGAATGTATTTATTCACTAGGTTTCTTTCTCTTCCGGAGAACTTTCAAAGCGACGTCAAAATACGAAAGAACAGCAAAAATCCAATAAAGTGGTATAAAGCCTACTAAACTGTCATTTGGGGGAAAAAATCTTCATTGTCCCATTTTGAGTTATCGGATAAGGGTGATGCCCGGCAGCCCCGCCCACCTTCCTTTGATGTCTGTGCCACGGCCAATGGTAGCAGCCAGGAACCCTGTAAGCAAGCAGGCAGCTTATGCTTATTCGCTTACATCACAGTCCCGCCTGTCTCACCTGGACTCGAGGCAGATTACACAGAGGGAGTCAGCACAATCGATAGGACTTTCGATGAGCCATGCAATGGGATGAGAGCCGTAGAACCAACCTGAAGTCTAAAACACAGAACTGAAGCAAAGCATACTGTTAAATGCTGCAAAACGATGCGATAAGATCCAATCCGCAGCAAACTGTACATGGTGGTGCAGATCACAAGTCCCCAATAATTTATCCGAGTAACTTTGTGAAGGCTTTTGTACAGAGCTACGCTACTGCCTACGTAGAAAAGCCCTCTTGAGAAATTCAGTTCTGCTTAGTTTGCAGAAGGGGCGCCGCGGTGGCTCAGAGGTTAAGACGCTGAGCTGCAGACCCGAAGGTCTGTAGTTTGGCAGTTCGAGACCCGAGTGCCGCGGGATGGAGTGAGCTCCCGTCTCTGGCCCCAGCTCCTGCCAACCTAGCCGTTCGAAAGCAAGAATTTGCAAGTAGATAAACAGGTACTGCTTCTGTGGGAAGGTAACAGGGTTCCGTGGGCCTCGGCATTTAGTCATGGCGGCCACATGACCACGGAAACGTCTTCAGACAGCGCTGGCTCTTCGGTTTGGAAACGGAGATGAGCACCGCCCCCTTGAGTCGGATCCACAGCTTTCCATCTCTCTCCCTCTCTCTCCCCCTCTCTGCTCGTGATGTAGCTAGGGCCCTATCTCTGTCTCTCCTCTTTACTATCGAGTACGGTAATTCACGAACAAAGCTTCAATCTGCACGCCGATCCATTCACACACCTGTGTTGCATTAGTCACTCTGCCACCAGGAATGCAGCGCGAAATTTATTTATTCGATTTTTATCCCACTCCTTTCCCAAGTGGGGCTCAAATCCCCCCTGTCGTAAGCCTTTGCCCGTCCCAAGGCGCAACAGAATAAGAAGACGGGGAATTTTCTTGGCTTGTGTTCGTGGGAGCAGGGGCCCCCCCCCGCCCCTCGGCTTTCTATTCCTACCATTGGGGTGGGGTGACTCTCTCTCTCTCTCTTTCCTATTTCAGGTACATGATACAGTGGCCCGGATGTCGGATTCTGCACCGGCACGAGTTGGATGCCTTCCTGGCCCAGGCGGTGTCTGCTCAGCTCTACGAGCCAGATCAGCTTCAGGAGCTGAAGGTAGGGGACAAGGGGCGGGATCGGACCCCTGCAGCATTTCTGGGGGGGGGGATGAGGTTCGCTAGATCAGAGCTCGCCGGACTGAGGAAGAGAAGTCGGTGGGTCCCGCGGTGCTTTGCAGGAAGCTAATTTCTCCTAGGCGGCCGTGTGCACGAGATCAGGTTTTAGGGACAAGTGGACTTCCCTGCCCACACGCCCCAGTTGCCCCGTTCTCTCTTCTCTTACTGCCCCTCTGTTGTTTGTATTTTTAAAAAGAAAGGAGGGGGTACAGATATGCAAAACCTCAAATAGTGGACTTGGACCAAATGCTTACAAAAGAACAGGTGAGTCGGTAAGCTGCTGCCCATGCTGGACCACTCCAGTCTGGGCTGATGTGTGGAATTGGAGGAGCAGGGGCGCGCTCTGTTAACAAGAACATCAGAAGAGCCCTGCTGGATCAGACCAGTGGTCCGTCTAGTCCAGCATCCTGCCTCACACAGTGGCCTCAACCAGTTCCTCTGGAGGGCCAACAACAGGGCATAGAGGCCAAGGCCGTCATAAGAACACCAGAAGAGCCCTGCTGGATCAGACCAGTGGTCCGTCTAGTCCAGCATCCTGCCTCACACAGTGGCCTCAACCAGTTCCTCTGGAGGGCCAACAACAGGGCATAGAGGCCAAGGCCGTCATAAGAACACCAGAAGAGCCCTGCTGGATCAGACCAGTGGTCCGTCTAGTCCAGCATCCTGCCTCACACAGTGGCCTCAACCAGTTCCTCTGGAGGGCCAACAACAGGGCATAGAGGCCAAGGCCGTCATAAGAACACCAGAAGAGCCCTGCTGGATCAGACCAGTGGTCCGTCTAGTCCAGCATCCTGCCTCACACAGTGGCCTCAACCAGTTCCTCTGGAGGGCCAACAACAGGGCATAGAGGCCAAGGCCGTCATAAGAACACCAGAAGAGCCCTGCTGGATCAGACCAGTGGTCCGTCTAGTCCAGCATCCTGCCTCACACAGTGGCCTCAACCAGTTCCTCTGGAGGGCCAACAACAGGGCATAGAGGCCAAGGCCGTCATAAGAACACCAGAAGAGCCCTGCTGGATCAGACCAGTGGTCCGTCTAGTCCAGCATCCTGCCTCACACAGTGGCCTCAACCAGTTCCTCTGGAGGGCCAACAACAGGGCATAGAGGCCAAGGCCGTCATAAGAACACCAGAAGAGCCCTGCTGGATCAGACCAGTGGTCCGTCTAGTCCAGCATCCTGCCTCACACAGTGGCCTCAACCAGTTCCTCTGGAGGGCCAACAACAGGGCATAGAGGCCAAGGCCGTCATAAGAACACCAGAAGAGCCCTGCTGGATCAGACCAGTGGTCCGTCTAGTCCAGCATCCTGCCTCACACAGTGGCCTCAACCAGTTCCTCTGGAGGGCCAACAACAGGGCATAGAGGCCAAGGCCGTCATAAGAACACCAGAAGAGCCCTGCTGGGTCAGACCAGTGAGGGTCCCTCTAGTCCAGCATCATGTCTCACCCAATGACCATCCAAATCCTCTGGAGGGCCAACAACAGGGCATAGAGGCCAAGGCCTTCATAAGTACACCAGAAGAGCCCTGCTGGATCACACCAGTGGTCCATCTAGTCCAAGCATCCTGCCTCACACAGTGGCCTCAACCAGTTCCTCTGGAGGGCCAACAACAGGGCAGACAGGCCTTCATGAGAACATCAGAAGAGCCCTGCTGGATCAGACCAGTGAAGGTCCATCCGTTCCAGCTTGAAAACCCGCTTCCCCAGGGACGTGGGAATGGGGAATGGACCGTGTATGCTCTGGAGTCGCACCTTCCCTCATAGTTTCTTTCATCCACGGCAGCAGATTGTTTTGGGAGCTTCTCCAGAGCTTCTCTCCTCCTCAGAGCTCCTTCCCTCGCCTCTCAGAGGGAGGGGATTTTTATACCTCTCAAAATTGAGCCCTGCATAGGCCCCAAAAGCACATCCGTGTGAATGCACGGGGGGCCACTCAGAGAACAAAAGGCAAGCCCTTTCTTTCACACCCAGGGAAAACCTGATTGCTACTTTGGGATCAAGAAGCAATTTTTCTCCAGGCCAGTTTGGCCGGGGACCCTGGAGGTTTTTTGTCATCTTCTGGGCACAGAGCAGAGGTCACCGGGGTGTGTGTGGGGTGGGGTGGGGGGAGGTAGTTGTGAATCTCCTGCATTGGGTGGGGGTTGGACTAGATGACCCTGGAGGTCAGTTCCAACCAGTGCTCCCTCTAAGCGGTGGAGTTTTGTGAGCCAAAATTTGACTTTGTGAGCAACTGGCATTAAAGTTGTGGACAAGCGATTTGGCTACTGCATAAATTAGTTTGCTCTGGAGCCATCCTTCTTGAGCGAAGACAAAAATGTGAGAGCCGGAGGCTAAAAAGCTGTGAGCTAGCTCACACTAACTCAGCTTAGAGGGAACAGAGCCAGTTTGGTGTAGTGGTTAAG